CTGGGAGTTGGAGACTGGAGCTGTTCCTGTTCAGCCATCTTGCTCCGCCCCTCAATATGTTGTTTTAAATGATCTGAAAACTCTTCCACAATAAATACATAGATAAAATGTGTTTCTAGATAAAATACAAAAAATACCACTTAAAGGCCAGGCTTTAAAGAAAGTAAGGGGAATTGCCAGAGGTCAGAAACAGAAAGCAAATAAAAACTCAAAGCGTTCCATTTCTTTCTCTTTAGCTGCTCTTGAATGAATTCCATTCCATTAAAGAGAAATAGAAACAGGCCCATTCAAATATCTGTACATGAAGCCAGGCTCAGTGGCTCACGCCTGTAATCTCAATGCTTTGGGAGGCTAAGGCCAGCAGATCACTTGAGCCCAGGAGTTCGAGACCAGCTTGGGCAATATGACAAAACCCTGTCTCTACAGAAAATACAAAAATTAGCCAGGCATGATGGTACACGCCTGTAGTTCCCAGCTACTTGGGAAGCTAACTAAGGTGGGAGAATCACTTGAGCCTAGGAGGTCAAGTCTGCAGTGAGCCATGATTGTGTCACTGCACTCCAACCTGGGTGACATAGTGAGATCCTTGTCTCAAAAAATGAAACAAAACAAATATCCATACATGAATGTTTATAGCAACTTTTTCATAATAGCCAAAATTTGGAAACACCTCAAATGTTTGTCAACTGGTGGATGGATAAGCAAATTCAAATATATCTTTAAAATGGAATAACAAATAATGAAGAGGAACAAATTACTGATAACATGTGACAACATAGATGAATCACAGAACCGTCATGGTAAGAAGTCCTGAAAGAAGTCAGAAACGAAGACTACATACCGTATGATTCCATTTCTGTGGCATTCTATAAAAAACAAAACTATAGGAGCAGAAAACAGATCGGGGTTGCCTGAGAGTAAAAGGGGAATTGACTACAAAGAAGCATAAGATAACTTTTTGGAGTGATGGAAATGTTATTACAAGCCAGTATAGATTTGTTTAATTTTATTGAACTGTATACTTTAAAAAGGATGAATATAGAATGTAAATTATGTCTCAACCTGATTTGAAACCAAAAACTTCAATAGATGGTTAAAGTTACTAGACCAATTTAGGAGCAGATTTGTGAACTGGAAAAGATGAATCTGAGCTATATTTATGTATCTATATATCTATAAAATATATAAAGAAATAAAGATAAATATATACAAAATAGATAGGGACATGGATTTGAAAAATATGAAAGAGAAGCTTTGTAGAACACACAGAACAGAAAGACAACGTATATTTAATTGAAATCCCAGTATGTCCACACCAAATGCTGGATAGTGGCTACCTAAGTTAAATATAGCAAAAATGTTCCTATCAGACAAGGATGAGAAGTCAGCACATAAGTGTTTGACATACTCTATACTTTCATATATTCTGTATTTTACAGTATGCTTAAAATATGTCATAGTAGAAAAATCCCTTAGTTTCCAGGCCTACCACCACATGTCCCTGCATTTTGCCTTCTGGGACATGCCCACATATATGTATAGATATTCGCATAGTTGAAGCCGTAATATATGCATGACTATTTTGTGTTTTCCTGTTTCTTTCATAAGTCATTTTTATTAACTTATTGTTACAAAAGTACTATCATGTACTATTAAGAAAAGGAAAAATGGCCAGGCACGGTGGCTCATGCCTGTAATCCCAGGACTTTGGGAGGCTGGATGGATCACCTGAGATCAGGTGTTCGAGACCAGCCTGGCCAACATGGTGAAACCTCATCCCTACTAAAAATACAAAAGTTAGCCTGGATGGTGGGTGCCTGTAATCCCAGCTACTCAGGAGGCTTAGGTGGGAGAATTGGTAGAACCTGGGAGGCAGAGGTTGCAGTGAGCCGAGATCCTGCCACTGCACTTCACACTCCAGCCTGGGTGACAGAGTGACTCCAGCCTGGGTGACAGAGTGAGACTCCGTCTCAAAAAAATAAATAAATAAATAAAAGAAAAAAGTTACTCTCACATAATCTTGTATATTATTTTGGTGTCTTTCTTGACATTCTTTTCCCATTAATATTTTTCAATTATTTTTGACTCAGAACTACATTCTAAGAATATTTTTATTGTATAGTTGTTTCTATAATATCTTGTATAAAAATGTCTCATGTTCTTATCTATAAAGTAACAAGATAGTTTGTAATTTCTGTCTGTAAGTTTGGATGTTTGTATGTCAACCAATATGTTCATTCTTGACAATGAATGTTTTTAGATTTGAAATTTTTTGCTACAAAATGGATAAGAAGTTTAATACAAACTTTAACTATTTTACCAAATTTTTGTATTTAATAGATCCCATTGAAGAGGAAGATGCAAATCTGCTATTTGGTTCAGTACAAGAAGTACTGAAAGCTTCAGTTATGGCTGATGCAGATATTCTTTCGGAGACATTTCAACTTCTGATAGACTCTGCCAAGGACTTCAGTAAAAGACTGTGGGGCTTAGTGCCATTTGGCTTGTATCTTCCAGCTCCTCCATTGTACTGTCCCCAGCCAGCTATTCTTAGTGAAGTAAGCTTATAGCATTAACTTTTTCATTAATTTAAAGTTGATTTTGTCGAGTTTTTAAAATAATTAACTTGATAATAATCATCAGGTTAAAAATTCAAGCTCTAAAGACAAACTTAGATCCCAGCTTTGCTGTTCACTAATTGTATAATCTTAGGGAGTGTACTAAACTACTGTTTAAGTTTCCTTATCTGTAAAATGCAGATGATAATACTACCTCTCATGGCATTTTTGTGAGGATTGAGATATCCTGTAAAATCTGCTAGCTCAGGACCTGGGACATATAGTAATTATTCAATAAATGTTAAAATTATTGTAACAATAGGGTGGGTGTGGTGGCTTATGCCTGTAATCCCAGCACTTTGGGAGGCAGAGGCAGGCAGATCACCTGAGGTCTGGAGTTTGAGACCAGCCTGACCAACATGGAGAAGCCCCGTCTCTACTAATTAGCCAGGCATGATGGTACACGCCTGTAGTTCCCAGCTACTTGGGAAGCTAACTAAGGTGGGAGAATCACTTGAGCCTAGGATTTTGTAATTTAAATACAAAATTAACTGGATGTGGTGGCGCATGCCTGTAAACTCAGCTACTTGGGAGGCTGAGGCAGGAGAATCGCTTGAACCCAGGAGTCAGAGGCTGCGGTGAGCTGAGATTATGCCATTGCACTCCAGCCTGGGCAACAAGAGCGAAACTCTGTCTCAAAAAAATTATTTTAACAATATAGCACAATCTTAATATCCAGACTTTTAAAAATTAGGCATTTGTTTAGGGTAACAAATGAAATAATGAGTGTCAGAATTAGAAGCCATACATTATTTCAGTCTCTTATTTATCTCTTTGTGTTTGCCTTTTTTGAAAGACTCGGCTGGGCATAGTGGCTCATACCTGTAATCCCAGAACTTGGGAGGCCAAGGCGGGAAGATTGCTTGAGTCAAGGAGTTTGAGACCAGCCTAGGCAACATAGTGAAACCCTGTCTCTATAAAATATACAAAAATTAGCTGGGCATCATGCACGCACCTGTAGTCTCAGCTACTCAGTAGGCTGAGGTGGGAGGATGACTTGAGCCCAGGAGGCCGAGGTTGCAGTGAGTTGAAATCGTACCACTGCACTTCAGCCTGGGTGACAGAGCAAAACTCTCTCAAAAAAGAAAAGAAAGAACTTATTTTTGACTTTGGTTTAAAAGGTTTTGTTTTTTTTTTTCCTGCACTATTCAATTGATAGTTCTATATTATAAATACTATATTCCTCTCAGAAACTTTTTCTCTGCTCTTATTAAAAAATCATCACATTATAATTAGCTGGTTTTAAGATTTAAAATGTTATTGTAAATTACATTTAGATTTTTAAGTATTTGATTAACACTTTGAAGTAGTTCTGGGTATTATTTTTTTACTACCTCCTGTTTCCATATTGGCAACTTCTACCTCTAGTTTTTAATTTCTCATTTGTTCTGTTTGGTTATATTTCAATAGTCTAAAACATTTTACTTGTTGATTTTACAAATGGAAGGAATAAAAAGTCCATGGCATTTCTCAATAATTCATCTTTCCTCTTGCATCTGAGTCTTTAGTAATTGGTTTAGAAATGTGAAATGACATTTAAAGTTTTTTGGATAGCCTATGCAGATAATAGTTCGAGTAGTTTGAGTGGTTACTATCTTTAGTAGTGCTTCATTTTATTCTTTTTTATTAAAGCAATTCTCCTTGGTAAGATTTCTTCTAAATGTCACTATGTATCAGTTAGAATCCCTTGTGTTGCAAGTAATAGAACACTTGGTCAAAATGGTTTAAACAATAAAGGCATTTATTGGCTCACATAATGAAGAAGCCTAGTGGTAGGGCAGGTTTCTGATTTAGTTATGTTACCAAAGACTTGGGCTCTGTCTTTCGCTCTAGTTTGTTTTTTGAGGTGTCATCTTCACCTGAAGACTAGCTCCCCTTGTGGGAGCAGGATGGCTGCTAACGGCTTCTAATGATGCCTTGTCCATGTCCATGGGCACAGGGATTGAGACAAAGAAAAGTGGCAAAATTATTTCTGTCCCAGCATTCCAAGCAGGAGGATTGAGATTCACTCTTATTGAGACTGGCTTAGGTCACATGCCTGTCCTTCAAACAGTCACTCTGGCTAGGCTTAACACAGGGTACTGCTTGGCCCGTGAATAGAGCCTTCTTTGAGGTGGGATGAGCTTTCCCTCAATCGTATGAGCCGTGTAGGAGATGGGCAGATACTAAAAAACTGAGTACTGTAAAGAAGTGGGCAGGGAAGAAGGATGTTGGGGAAGCAGATGTTTACAATGCTCACATTATCTCATTATCTGGGAAAATAATCTTTAGCTACTGGTTTGAATAGCATTTATTCAACAAACATTTATTGGTTCCTACTATGTATCAGACTTGAGTGCGTACACTGTGGCCATACGTAGACAAATGGCAAGGCCCTTCCTTCCTCTTGGGAGTTCTGAGTACAGTGAGATACAGGTATAAATTGATATGTAATTAATTGGTGAAAGCTACAGTAGAAGTGTGAACAAAGTGCTCTTGTAGCACAGAGGGATGGGCTTCACAGAGGAAGTGACATTGAAATATAAGTAGGATTATTCTCAGCAGAGGAAGAGAAAACGGATTCTGCTTAGATGGACCTCTCTAACATTCCACCAATGGAGTCTGAAGTGGCGGGCTTTAACTGTTCTAGGGTAAGACTGGGAACAAGGGTCAGCTTACCCCTTTACGTTGAGGGGAGATAAACTTTTCTTGATTCTAGAAATAGCCATAGTTGAAATCTCAGAGCCTGTGCCTCAGAATTTCCTTTATAAATCCCCAGGAACATTCTAGTTTGAGAAGCAGTGAGCATCATTAGCCTATCATTTTTTTTTTTCTTTTTTTTGAGACAGGGTGCTACTGTGTGGCCCAGGTTTGAGTACAGTGATGCAATCTTGGCTCACTTCAGCCTTCAACTCCTGAGCTTAAGCAGTCCTCCTGCTTCGGCCTTCCAAAGTGCTGGAATTACAGACGTGAGCCACTGTGCCCAGCCTCATCAGCCTATCTTTATTTTTACTTTACCATTCTAAATTTTCTCATTACTAGCCACTAAAATGGATTGTTTTATTTTCCTCAGGAAGATGGTGATGATCTTCTTTTAAAAGCTGAAAAAAATAATCGCCAGAAGGTATCTGGAATCCTTCAGCGTGTTCTCCTGCTTTTCCGGGCGGCTCGATGTTCTTTTCCTGTGGCACAGTGGTATATCTTGCAGTTGAGGTGGGCAAGAAAAGTCATGCAGAAGGTATGGAAATATCTTAAGTCATTTACGTGCTGTGTTAACTGAAATATACTAATATTTATATTATTGTTTTTATAATTGTTACATTTTCCCAAGGAGTCGTGCCCTATAAATCCATAAATTTCAGGTTTATTCACAAACAAACTAAACAGACCAGATTCTTCCTGTTGAAAGGTAAGGACTCTGAACTGGGTCCGTAGCTTAGCTCCACCCTGTCTGGCAAAAGATAGTGTAATCTAGTCCGTGAATTCCAGGGAATTACAGTTACTTTTTTCCAACTCCCCCATCATTTCATTAAAGATTGAAACTCAGTCCAGGGCTTTCTCCCAGTTTTCCTTGAGGTGTTGTCTGCGTTCTGTGGGGGCTTCTGTGGGTTCAGAGAATGGAAAGTTATAGTTCATTCTCGTCTGTTTCCATCCAGTAGCCTCCACTAGTCAGGGTCTCCCCCTTGCTATTTTCTGAGATGTGCAATTCAGTTTGATTCCCAGGTGTTCATCCCCTCCTATACTGACTTTAGCCGAGCTGTCACTTCATTCTTATCAGATTTCCAGCCAGCTAGGACACCTGGTAGGTCTCTTTATCCAGCTCTAAGTCCTTTATATGCCTGCTGTCTCTCTCAAAAATGTGGAAATAAATTTCATCATCTCCAAATGTGTTTAATTCAGCCTAAAAACAATATAATTATTTTTAGTAGGAACCTTTGGAGAGACTTTGAGAAGTTATCTAAAAGTATTTTTGAAAATTACCCTTTTTTAGAGAAAAAGAAAGTTTGTGAAATTTGGATATAGTTTCTATAAAAATATAAATTAAAACTGTACTCATTTTATATTTTGGCATCACAATGGAAACTGAAAGTAGATAGAGGTTGGTTGCCAGGGGTTAGGGAGAGGAGGAAGTGGACAGTGACTGCTTTTGTTTTTCTTTTTGGGGTGATGAAAATGACCTGGAATTGGCCGGGTGTGGTGGCTCACGCCTGTAATCCCAGCACTTTGGGAGCCTGAGGCGGGTGGATCACGAGGTCGAGAGATCAAGACCATCCTGGCCCACATGGTGAAACACTGTCTCTACTAAAAATACAAAAATTAGCCAGGCGTGGTGGTGGGCATCTGTAATCCCAGCTACTCGGGAGGCTGAGGCAGGAGAATCGCTTGAACTAGGGAGGCAGAGGTTGCAGTGAGCCGAGATCGTGCCACTGCACTCCAGCCCTGGTGACAGAGTGAGACTCTGTTTCAAAAAAAAAAAAAAGAGGGCCGGGTGTGGTGGCTTATGCCTGTAATCCCAGCGCTTTGGGAGGCCGAGGTGAGTAGATCACAGGTCAGGAGATTGAGACCATCCTGGCTAGCATGGTGAAACCCTGTCTCTACTAAAAATACAAAAAAATTAGCCGGGTGTGGTGGTGGGCACCTGTAGTCCCAGCTACTCGGGAGGCTGAGGCAGGAGAATGGCGTGAACCCAGGAGGCGGAGCTTGCAGTGCCACCGCACTCTAGCCTGGGTGGCAGAGCGAGACTCTGTCTCAAAAAAAAAAAAAAAAAAAATGACCTGGAATTAGACAGTGTTGATGGTTGCCTAACTTTGTGAGTATACTAAAAACCACTAATTGTACACTTTTAAAAGATGACTTTGATGTTATGTGAGTTATAGCTCAATTAAAAAATGGTGCTGAAACAAAGATTCTGAACCACATTACTTTTCTCTCTAACAAATTAACACAAATTTAGCAGCTTAAAATAGCACCCATTTAATATCCCACAGGTTCTGTGCATCAGAACCACCACAGGGTGGTTCAGCTAGGTCTCTGCTTAGAGTCTCACAAGGCCAATCAAGGTGGCAGCGGGGCTACATTCCTTTGTAGAGGTGCTAGGGGAACATCTGTTTCCAGGCGCATTCAGATTGTTCCAGAATTCAGTTGCATGTGGCTGTAGAACTGAGGTCCCCATTTGTTTGCTGGCTCACGCTCTCTCTCTCTCTCTCGCTACCTCTTAGTACCATCCTGGTAGTAAATGCCATTAATGTATTTGACAAGAAGTCTGTCATTAGCATGCTTCCCTAGAGATTTGATTAGATTGTGTCTTTCTGGAAGTGACTAGCAGGAGAAAATCAATTGCAAGCCTTCTGTTAATGCTTCTTTCCCAGGTTTAAGTCTCTTAGAGCCCTTTCCTGAAACGTGGAAATAAATTTTATCATCTCCAAATATATTTAAATCAGACTGTTATCTGTAGAAGCTCCCTCTCTTTTTATTCTTGATTAAAAAAAAAAAAAAAAAAACTAGGTAACTTTTCCTGCACCATATTCTACGTTTATCTGATCATTTCTTCATTTAATGTCGTTTACCTTGTTTCTCTTTCTTTTTTTTCCCCCCTGTAACCCGGTCATTAATCTGTGCTCATTGAGGCAGAGAGGTTTAAATAGATTGAGGTTCAAATTTTCTTTTTTTTTTTTTCTTTTTTGAGACAGCATCTCACTCTGTTGCCCAGGCTGGGTGCAGTGGCATGGTCTTGGCTCACCGCAACCTCCGGCCCCCGGGTTTAAGCGATTCTCCTGCCTCAGCCTCCTGAGTAACTGGGACTACAGGCGCCTGCCACCTCGCCCAACTAATTTTTGTGTTTTTAGTAGAGATGAGGTTTCACCATGTTGGCTGGGCTGGTCTCAAACTTCTGACCTCAAGTGATCTGCCCACCTCAGCCTCCCTAAAGTGCTGGGATTACAGGCGTGATCCACCGCACTTTGCCGCAAATTTTTTTAGAAATGAATCTTTCATAAGTATTGTGCGCTTCTCTGTTGCACGTGGCACATGTGTTTGCTTATTTTACTTTTAGGGATGGGGAGATAGAGTTTGGATCATGTCACACCCTCTATCACGTATCCCCGTCAACCCATCACCTTTTTACTCTGTTAGCGTTTACTAATGATCCTTGCCTAGAGTCATTATTAAGGGTTGCCAAATGGTGTCTTTCTAATTCTGCCATTTATAGATTAGTTTTGTTAAAAGTTATGTATGTAGGCATAAACTTTTTGTATTTGTTTTAGTTACTGTACACAGCTTTATTTGGGATAAGGTTAAGATTCTTATATTTCTTTATTTTCTTTGCTATGCCAGTGAGGAAAGCCAGGGACAAATAGCATTAAATTCTTCTTATACAGGCAAAATTGTGACAAGAGCGAGCAAATGATTTACTTAGAACCTTTTTTTTTTTTTTTTGAGATAACAAGCTAGTGACTTTCCTGAATTAAATTTGTAAGTTTCTGAAAATGTAGCTGATTTCATGTGCTGTGTTTTCCGTGTGGTTCATCTTACCTGCCTGATTCTTTTATAGTTTCTTTAAAAGTGATTTATAGTGCTGGTAATTAACATATTTGCTTATTCTTTACTTTTAGATTCGAATGAAAGGATCCCTTCCTTCACTGAGTCCTTTTCCTCAGTCATTACTTAATTACTGTAAAGGAGGTATCGTATTCTTTAGACCTGGAGCAGCTGGAGACCATAAACTTGATGAAGTTTCCATTAGAGCAATAGGTTTGTCCAAATGAACTGCTTGCTTAGACATTAGGCCTAAGTATGAATAATGGTATGAATTTTTCATTTGATTTGGGAAAGTATTGACTCTTCAAAGTACACTATGCTCTATGATATTTTACTTTGTGTTCACAAGTAAATACTGTACTTTAACAGCTATGTGTATACATATATGATATATATGATAGTAAGTCAGAAATTTATTATATAAACAAATTGTGATACCTGTTACCTTATGTCATGCTTCATTATTAAACTAAATTTTTTTGTTTGTTTTGTTTTTGTTTGTTTTTTGAGATAGAGTCTTGCGCTGTTGCCCAGGCTGGAGTGCAGTGGCGCGATCTTGGCTCACTGCAAGCTCCGCCTCCCAGGTTCACACCATTCTCCTGCCTCAGCCTTCCAAGTAGCTGGGACTACAGGTGCCCGTCACCACGCCCGGCTAATTTTTTGTATTTTTAGTAGAGGTGGGGTTTCACTGTGTTAGCTAGGATGGTCTTGATCTCCTGACCTCGTGATCCGCCCACCTCGGCCTCTCAAAGTGCTGGGATTACAGGTGTGAGCCACCATGCCCGGCCTTTTTTTTTTTTTTTAAAAAAAAAACAGAATCTGGCTCTGTTGCCCGGTCTGGAGTGCAGTGGTATGATCTCAACTCACTGCAACACACCTCCTGGACTCAACCCATCCTCCCGCCTCACCCTCCTGAGTAGCTGGGATGACAAGTGCACACCACCACGCCCTGCTAATTTTTGTATTTTTAATAGAGGCAGGGTTTTGCCATGTTGCCCAGGCTGATCTTGAATTCTTCAGCTCAAGCAGTCTACCTGCCTTGGCCTCCCAAAGTGTTGGGATTGCAGGCATGGGTCATTGTGCCTGACCTAAATTAATTTCTTAATTCATGGTCTATGTCCAGTTATTTGTGTAACAAGTTTAAAAAGAAGTAAAACTTTAGATATCATTTCACTCTTTTCTCCTTAATCATTCCTTAATCCTAATCAGTTCTATTTATATTAAGCCCTGATCTTATCTTTAGACTTTGATTAAAATGTTTACTTTAAAGCCGGGCACAGTGATGTAATCCCAGGTACTTGGGAGGCTGAGGTGGGAGGTTGCTTGAGCCTGGGAGTTTGAGGCTCTTGTGTGCAATGATTGTACCTGTGAATA